TATTTTTTTTTTTCACCACATCTTTTGACATTTCGGTCATAGTCTGAGGTAATCTTGTCAACCTGGTACTTGTTGGCATTAGTCCCACCTCATGTTGACATCTTACATGTACCACCTTATTTGTGGACTCTTGTCTCATATTTTATCCATTCGTGGGGTTTGGTTATCTTCTGTATCGTTTAAATCTTATTTTAACGAATATTCTTCCTCAATAACAATTAACTCCGCTCAACTGTGGTTGGTTAAATTTGTTCGTTGTTATTCAATTATTTGATTTATAATTTTTTACTCTTACAACGTCTAACTGCCACAATCCCTAATCATTGAGCTTGTTTGTTATAGCAATTCGCAAGGATGATTAAGAGCGTTTAATTAGACATTTGTACCACAAGCTATTTATTAATGTTATTTAGTCATAGATAGCTTTAAAATAAATTAAAAAAAAATATAAATTATTTATAAGCTGATGAGGGTGTTTTTAGTTTATACTAGTGGAGATTATCATATCTTAGCTTTAAAAAAAAAAATTCAAAAAACAGTTGTCTAGCGTTATGGGCCAATATCTTATTAATATTTTTAAGGCCTTTGCCCACCATAGTAACAACTCTTGTTCCTTATGGGACCACCAAAGGTTTTTTTGGGAATTGACTATTATTAGTAGGCTATTTTAATTTTAATTTATTTTTAGTAGTAAAATTTTTATATTTTGAAGATAGTTAGATTTTTTTTGGTAATTCGATGGAATAATTTGTAAAAGAGAGTGATAAATGATTAATGAATTTGACGTGACATTTTGTCATATTGCTATTTTTAGTCTAATTTTATCTTTTTTCTTTTTTTTTTTTTTTTTTTTTTGGGTAGATGTTTAACCTAAAAGCTAATTTTAGTCCTTCTCCCAAACAGTAATGTTAAAAAAATAACTCCTTTTGTCTATTTTTTTCACACGTGTTTTTCGTATAAAATAAAAACTTAATTAAATAACTAATTTCTTCAAGGGCTAATTCTTAATAAATCAAAGGAACTTTTTTTTCCCAAGTTTACTTTTTTTTAAAACATTTATTAAAAATTGCATCAAATAAATCTTTAAAACGGTATTTTAACTGATATTTTAAAAGATTATTAAATAAGTGATAATATAGACTCAATTAACACGTTTATAAAGAAAGTAAAACTTGAAAAAAAAAATGTTCTTTATTTATGATTGCCTGTTGAATTAGTTATTTTTTATTAGTTTTTATTTTATAACAAAAACACGTGTGAAAAAAATAGACAAAAGAGTATTTTTTTTAAATTACTGTTTGAAAAGACTAAAGTAGCTTTTAGGTAAACTACCAAAAAAAAAAAAAAAAAAAAAGAAAATAAAGATAAAATAGACTAAAATAGCTAATAAGACAAAATGTCACGTCAAATTCATAATCATTTCAACTTTCTTTTTTTTACAATATTACATCTAATTACAAAAAATCTACTATTCTTTCACAATATAAAAATTTTAGTCTACTAAATAATTAAAAATTAAAATAGCCTACTAAATAGTCAATTTCCCAAAAAGCCTTTGGTGGTTCCCATAAGATACAGCAGTGTAGCCTATGGTGGGCAAGGCTTAAATATTATAGATCCATTGGCACATAACTGCTTAGACAATGTTTTGAATTTTTTTTTAAGCCTAAAATATGATAATCTCACAGTATAAACTAAAACACCTCTCATCAGCTTATAATAATTTTTATTTTTTAATTGATTTAAGCTATCTATGACTAATAAATTATATAAAAATAGTGTGGTACAAATGTCTAAATTAAACAAGACTCTAATCATCTCTTGAATCTATAGCAAACAAGCTCAATTTGGGAGTGTGGTGCAGTTTTAGACGGTTTAAGAGTAAAAAATTATAAATCAAATAATGAATAACAAATAACAAATAACCAAACCACAGTTTGAGCGGATTTAATTTGTTAGTTGATTGAAGATATTCTTAATAATTTTAAAATATTTACATAATATACAACACTAATTTATATAATATTAATATATATCACAAATTAATTTGTACATAATATTTTCATATACATAGTGACTAATTTGCAACAAATGTTACATTTTAAATATTACTCATACTCATTTTTACTTTGAATTTCAATAGATGTTAAAAAAAAAAATTTAATCTATAACAGAACGTAACAATTTCTAAAACGGTTATAAATTTTAAAATTTAATCCGTAATTACGGATGAATCAATACTAATGGTACAAATTGAGCGATTACGCGATATTTTGCATAGCTTCAGCAATATCGTAACAATGTTTCATCGGCCCAATATACTAATTACCTTCATCCCATTCATCGATAATGGGCAATTTTTATGTGAAGATAGGGCCCAAAAAAGAGAAGAAATTATAATTCATGGGGCATAAAACCCTAGAAAATTCGAAGGGTTTTACAGCAGAGACGAAGGAGAGAAAGAGAGGCAGCGAGCGAGCAGTCATTTCTCTCTTCTTGCAGCGATGCCGAAGTCTAAGCGTGATCGACCAGGTCTGTCTTCTTCTCCCAGATCCTTCAATTTCATACACTGTTTGGCTGCCGAGAAACCGGACGGAAAAAGAGGATCAAATTGTTTTTTTTTAGCAAACTACTCAAGGATTGTTCAATAGAAAGATTGCATGATTTGTTCGTTTTGATTGTTTGCAGTGACGTTGTCGAAGACGAAGAAAAAGGGGAGAGGGCATAAAGAATCGATTGTGAATTCGATAAGGGAAGAAATCGAAAAGTACAATTCTGTTTATGTTTTTAGTTTCGAGAATATGAGGAATCTCAAGTTCAAGGAGTTCAGAGATAAGCTCAAATCGTCTAGCAGGTATTTAAGAAATTTGCATTTGACATGATTTTCCAACCAAATTATATTTTCTCACCCACTGGTTGGTTGCTCAGAATGAAATTTATAATCTTATGCTTTCTTGGTGTTCAGTATTGTGAAAAATAACAAAATGGTCGTATTATATGTATTTGATCAAAGGTTTTTGTTTTTTCATGGTCTCTAATGATTTATGGAGTTGATGATTCACTTTATATTCGATAGAAAGTTAAAAATACCTATTTAGGCTGTGTTTGGTTGGATGTTTTGATGAGGGAAATTGAAAAAGAAAAAGAGAAAAAATTGATAGGATTCGAATTACAAGCTATGTTTGATTGAGTTAGGAAATGGAGGGAAACAAAAGAGAATTCTTACAAAGAAACACTTCGCTGTTGTGAAAACTTTCCCGAGGAATAGTTTTCTATGGATATTTAATATTGGTATCTTAGGAGAAATATGTTAATTTGCATTTGAAATTACCAGAGGAGGTCAATTGTATGGATTGATATTGTGCACGAAGACCTACTTAGCTGCTCTTTGTGATTCATCTACCACATTTGGACATCAACGTGTCATTTGTGTTTTATATGGGAAATTTTTTTGGGGGGTTGATTAATGTATCATATTACAATGAAATTGCAATCATAGTGAAGATCAAATACAACATATCCTAAAGGGGAAGAGAGAAACCAGAACAAATACACAGGGAATAATAAGAACCACACACAGGTGGGGAGATTTGACCCCTTAGCTCCTAGTGAATTGCAAGGGTTTTGGCCAATGGGCTAGCCCCGTTGGTTAATGTGTTTTGTATAGGATTTAAACTAGCATCTAATCTCTTTTTAAATAGCATCTAAATGGGTTTCCTTGCTTTTCACATTTTATGTTTTCAAATAAGTGTTTTTGGATTGTATTGACTTTGACTATCAATCTACATTTATTTTATGTTATGATGTGCCTCTTAATTTTGTGGTAAACTTATATTTGAAAGGCTAAAAACTCGTTCCACTTTTGAATCGCAATCTTATTGACATAGATACGAGGGACATATTTCAGTTAATTGTAACTGCTAACACATGATCACGATTATCTCATGAGTGAATATATATATATATATTTTATTCGTGTCAGATTTTTCCTTGGATCAAACAAAGTTATGCAAGTCTCTCTAGGCCGATCTGTTTCTGATGAGATTAGACCTGGCCTTCACAAAATTTCTAAGGTATGCATGCCATTCTATGTAGTCACTAGTCATTGACTTATAGAGTGGTCTTTAAATTGGTCTTAATTAGATTTATTTGTTTTTTCCCCATCTTATTTATTAATTTGTAAATTCAGCTTATACGTGGAGATTCTGGGCTTTGTTTTACCAATTTGCCAAAAGAAGAGGTCCAAAGGTAATATACATCTATGATGCACCTGAAAAATATTCCTCCTTATTGCCGTCCAGATTTGTGATGATTACATTAAGTGTTTATGTTTTTATTTTTTGCTCCCTTCCCATTTTAGTGACAAGAAATGAAATGTTTGCCCTTCTTCTACATTTCATTTGAATTTTTTAATTTTTTTGTCCAAGCATGTTTGTTGTTTTTCCATATGAGTTGATTTTCTTTTGTTCCTTCATTCACTGTATTTAATTTTTTTTTTAATAATCTTTCTGCTTTTTTTCTTTCTTATTTGTAATTTCTTTCAATATTTTTCTGCAGGTTATTTAATGAGTTCGAGGAATATGATTTTGCAAGAACTGGTAGCATTGCATCAGAGAAGGTTTGTAGCAATTGTTCTCTATGCCTCTTGCACATTTAGGTGTTCCCTCGAATTTGAATTGCCAACTGTTTTACATCCCATTGGTACTTGGAGGGGGTACAAGTCCATTATAGAATATGGGATTATTTCCTTTAAGTTGTGGTATTGGATGAATTTTAGAATTTCTGTCAGCTATTCCTGTTTTTGTTGCAATTTGGGTTTTTTTCCCTGCCAAATATTTCATTGGACCATTCAAGATAATGGATTTTTATGGCCGCCTTTCTCTGTGGCACTTCAAAATGCATCATTCTTTCTCCATTTTATTTTTATTTTTTATTCGTTTTATATTTACATTAGTTTATTGAACCGATATGTTTGCTGGTGTAAATAAACCATAAGCAAAGCACAACTTTGAACTTTTCCAACTATAGAAGAAAAACTTGCACTGCTGTAGGAATTCGACTTCATCCTAATTTAAAATTTCCTATTAACAACATTTAATTTCTTTGACATTGAGCTGTCTTTCTACGTTTTAAATAATATTTCAAATGTTGCAACTGTACCACCTTAGCCTGTGCTATATAAAGTGATGAATGTTTGTTAAAGTTTGACATACATTCTATGTATTATGTACGTCTCATATATCCCAACTCCTAAAAACTGCACATATATTATACTTCAATTTTCCAGGTGGAGCTTAAAGAAGGTCCTTTGGATCAGTTCACACATGAGATGGAACCCTTCCTACGCAAGCAAGGGATGCCTGTTAGGTTGAACAGAGGTTTGTGACTGATTTACTTTGTTTTCTTCTCTTCAGTTTGCAAATTATGTAGTGTGTGTGTATATATATCATTGACCTGGCTCATGCTGAGCAGGGGTGGTGGAGCTTGTTTCAGACTTTGTTGTTTGTGAAGAGGGGAAGCCATTGTCCCCAGAGTCAGCTCGCATACTGGTTTGTTCTTAACTCCTATCTGAAATTTCGACTAGCATGTGACTAATAGGTTCCCTCTGCTTATTATGTGAAATTTTTTTGTATCCACACAAACAGACTTTGTGTGTGCATGCCTGTGTGGGTTAAATCTTTTACGTGTACATTTAATAATTGAAGAGGTGCATAATACTCAAATTTGTTGATATGTTTGATTGAAAACAATGCCCTGTTGTTTCTGGTCCTTTATATTATTTCATTACATGAAACCACTGCATATTTCGCATGTGTTAGCTGCTTCAAGTACGATATTTTTTTGTAGTTAAATTTGTGTTATACTAAGAACATTGGACTTTCCAGACATGATTAAGCTTCTGTGGCATGTGCACAGTTTTTTATAAGTTGTTAGAGTAAGAGAAACTCAAATTTGATTTGACTGTTTTAATGCAGCGTCTGCTTGGTACCAAAATGGCTACCTTCCGGCTTCACTTAGTTTGCAGATGGAGCCCTGAGCAATTTGAAGTTTATAAAGAAGGGCTTGATGACTCGGACATTGAATCCTCATAGTAATTTCTGTTGAAGGATCCATGATGATGAATATCGTCTTCACCAAGTAATAGAGCAGCAGCATTTTCAAGGGCATGCCAGTTTTCTTCTGGATCTCAGGCTGATTAAAATCGGATGATGCACCATGATCCAATATTTCAGTGTTATTTCTTTAACTGTTGTACTAAATTTTTGCGTAATATTTTTGTCATCGATTAATGAGTTGAGATTTTGTTTTAATAGATTCTGGTGTAAAATCTCTTTAAGTGATCAAAGGAAGTTTTCCCCCTTTGTTAAATTCTCCTTCTCCTCAGCCATGGAGGTTGACAGAATTTTTTTCAGTTCCCTTTCTTGATTATGTTGGACCCGTAATTTAGATTTTTTTTTTTGAAAAGAAAAAGAAAAAAAAGAAGAAACCATCCAGCCAATTAATCATGCTATAATTATTATGATGGACCATGCCATAACTCGCCTTACAAGGCCATCATAGAAATCTAAAATTATTATGACGTCTTTTTTTTATTATGACTTGGTCCCTCAAATCATGATGGACCAAGCCATAATAATTATATTTCATGTTATAATAAGGAGAGTTACGGTTCCTTGTAAGGAGAGTTATGATTTCATAATATTTTTTAAAAAGACATGTTATAATTAAACCATCCGTTTATTTTTGCGGGTAATTAAAATAAAGGAAGAATTACAAAAAAAGAAAAAAAATAGAAAGATCAGAGAAAAATTACATTTCAATGGAGAATGCATTTAAAAATAGTGTTGCAAGTTCCAGTGTGGAGGCAAAGCTATGGGCGGCCATCTACAGGGTAGGGCTGAGCAAGAAATCTATGAAATTCATAATTCGATTCAGTTCAATTTAGTAGGTTTGGATTGATTTTTAGAATCCGTGGTTCGGTTCCGGATTTGAAAAATTAAAAATCCGGATTTGAAAAATTAAAAATCCGTAGTTCACGTATTGGTTCAGGATTGAACCCCACAGTTTCGGATTGGAACCGATTCGGACCGTATACAAATAGTTTATATTTTTATTATATACCCTCTTGTATAGTATCTTCTCTTATTTTATATAAAACTTAAATCCAAACCTAAGCTTACATAGTATCTTCTTTTATTATTTTTGTTTGCTAGTTTTTAATATTAATTTGTAATGGTCTAAATACTTATGGTGGAACCAGTTTTCTTATGATTGTTTAAATTTTAGAACAGTATGTCGCTATTATGAAAAGACATGTTATTGTGAAACTAATATGGTGCTATAATTATTTTTTATGAAATTAAAGTGTTATATATATATTTTTGTTATTTAATTATGTAAATCCGTAGTCCTAAACCGATCCAATTCGTGTTTAAATGGATTGGTTCGGATTGGTTCCACGATTTAAATGGATTGAATTGGTTCCAATTTTTCAGAAACTGTAAATAACGGATTGGTCTTGGTTTTACCCTAATCCGATCCAATCCGGACTATGTTCACCCCTACTACAGGGCCTCACAATCCTAGGCACCATGGACGTGGATATTGAAACTGATGCCACTCAAGCCATCAAGTTAATTCAAGATGGACCAAGCCATAACTCTCCTTACAAGGCCATCATAGAAGATACAAGGCCCCGTTTGTTTTGGGTGAAACAGAGGGTATTGGGATTGCTAATACCAAGGTATTAATAATAGCCTTGTTTGTTTTGGGAGAAGGCCTTGGGACTATTAGTCCCTTGGTATTACTAATACCCTTGGAGAGGGGATTGGTAAGGAGGAGGTAGAGATGGTATTAGAAAAATAGTGAGGGGATTAGAAATTTTTTTATTTATTTTTATTTTTTATATATGGGAAATTTTTTTTAAAATATAATTTTTAATTTTTTATATTTTTTTATTTGTTTTATTATTTTATATAAAAATAATTTAACAATTCCTCACTACTAATCCCTTCACTATCAATTCCCTCACTACTAATCCCCTCACTATCAATCCTCTCATTAGTAATTCCCTCACTATTAATCCCCTCACTATCAATCCCCTCTATTCTATCCTATCTCCCAAAACAAACGGGAAGTTCTTAATGAAAAAGATGTAATTGCAGACTGAGTCACACACTGAGGGAAGGAAACAAAGTTGCTGATAGGTTGGCAAACATAGGAGTGGCACAAGATGAACAAGTGGTGATTCTGGAGGACCCCCCAGAAGATGTAACAGCTTTGGTCATAGATGATATGAGTGGAGCTCATTTTGAGAGGGATTAGCCCTCTAGACTGATACTTGTTTAGAGACCTTTCTCTGTTTTATGTTTGAACTGAATCAAAAAAAATAAAAATAAAAATAAACTCTTTGCATCCTAAGTTGCAACTTGGGCAGTCCTCCCTTGCCACCTGAACCCTTTCCCCACTTAACTAGTCACCTCTGGTCTCTTCTGACACTTCCCTACTACCCACTCTGCCTCTCCACTTCCACTCCCAAACCTCCCTCCATCTTTGAAGAACAAACCAGTTGCCACCTTTTAGATTGGCAATGCTCCGCGAACAGGGGCGGAGTAACTTTCAATTTTTCTTTTATCCAAAATGTTTGGAATTTTACAAATTGAACTCAGTAAAATTAGTTGAAGAAAAGAGAATTGTTATTCATATTTTACTTTATTATAAATACATTCTAAAAATTTGTCTTTAGTGTTTTTTTTTATTCTTAATGCACATTAAAATATAATTTTTTGATTTTTTTTGATTTTTCATTTTTTTATAAATAAAGAATTGCAGTGAAAATAATAAGGGTAAATTACAAATACATCACTTGAGGTTTAATTAAAATACAAAACACCTCTTGTGGTTCTGGAAATTATGTTCCACCCCTTGACGTTTTTAATTTTATAACAAATCGTCCATTTTATTAATAAATCATCAAATCAGTGAATAGTTTTTAATGATATTATAAATATATTTCAATTAATAATTTTATTATTAACAGTAATTTTATTATTATTTTGGAGAGCAATTATGAATTTTATTTTTTTAGTTAATTCTGTCAAATAAAAAATTCCAATAAGGGGATATTTGTAATTTTTCAAACTATATGGGGCAATCTGTATTTTAAGCAAATCTCAGGAGGTGTATTTATAATTTATCCAAATAATAATAACTACATTTGTCATATGCTCATTAATTCTGAAGGGATATTTTATTTCAATACAGTTAAAGAAAGGGATTTTTATTGATAAATCCCATTTAGAAGTGTTCTAACCTAAGAAGTTCATGAAGGAATTTTTTAACCCACTTAGTCCCATGTATTTATACTTTTATTCCATAAAGTCATTTTTCTTGATTTACACTGTTTTCTTAGACTCTTACGACCTTATATTTAATATTGATATTTAATGTTAGGGGTATGAGAGAGAAGGGAAAGGGCCAAGGCATAGGAAATTTCATACACAAATTAAATAACATTGATGTTATTATTTTATATTATTATATAATGTGAATATATTTTTAATTGACAACACATTAAAAGTAATGTGAACATTTTGTCTCATCTGATGTGAATATATTTTTAATTGACAACACATTAAAAATAATGTGAACATTCTCTCTCATATGATGTGAACGTTCACAATACATTTCTGAAATTTTTTCTCTCATCAATGTAGTGATGTGAACATTCACAACATATGAACCTTCTTAATTTTAATTGACAATTCATTAAAAATAACGTTCATTATATTTTTAATTGACAACACATTTTTATTCACAACATATAGGATGTTAATGTTCACAACATGTGCACATTCTCTCTCATCTAATGTAGTGATGCGAACGTTCATATTCGTATGTTTTAGTATGAATATTCACATCATGTAATTGACAACACAATGACAAAAATTCATTTCAAATTAATGTTAATATTCACATCATGTAATTGACAATATAATGACAAAAATTTATTTCAAATTAATATGAATATAATGACAGTTAATATCTTGATACATGAGAATTATCAAAACATAATGACAATCAACATTAATAGGGACATGAGAGATTGAGGGTGGTTTAGTCTTCTTACCTCAAATAGGATCTAATGGAATAGTAAAAAAGAATATGGGTTAGATGGAATAAAACTCTTAAAAAGAGAATTTATCAAAAAAACTCCCTTAAAGAAATCATTATTTATTTCGATGCAATTTAAAAAACCCAATAAGTAATGGCTTTTTAAAAAAAAATTTATTTAGAGTAACAAACACATTTGGCCCAATGGTTGTGTAATACCATTTTGTAATATGAGCTTACGGGTTCAACTTTTATAAAGAGAAATTTGAATTCTCCTTAAGCTTAGATCTTTGCTTGATTTTGTAGAAGCATTATGTTCTCAATCTTTGTTTTTTTTATGTAATTTAACAAATTTGAACTACTTTTGTGGATGTGATTGGAAATATAAATTTACATGTAATTTAACAAATTTGAACTACTTTTGTGGATGTGATTGGAAATATAAATTTACATGTAATTTAACAAATTTGAACTACTTTTGTGGATGTGATTGGAAATATAAATTTACATGTAATTTAACAAATTTGAACTACTTTTGTGGATGTGATTGGAAATATAAATTTACATGTAATTTAACAAATTTGAACTACTTTTGTGATGTAGTTGGAAATATATAAAATTTGATTTTGATACAAATTGTGCAAAATTTATATTGACATAATTATAATAGTGATACTAGTTAAATGACACCACTAAACTAAAATCTTGGCTATGCCAGATTGTTTTGAAGAATTGAATAAATGATGCCCATATATTGCAGGAATGTTAAAACACAAAATGCATTTTTGCCAAACAAGTTCAAAAAAAAAAAAAATCTAGTTATCATATAGGATATCAAATGTTGAAGTTTCAAAGTTTTAGAGGATTGCCTTTGACGACTGGATGAGAACATGTTCATGTCATATTGTAGTTACAATCTCTCTCCTGCAGACATGGAAGACAAATAAACATGCATGAGAGGAGTTATTATTTCACAGTTTGAATTTCCCTTTCATTTTCACAGCCTTGTTGATCTGTACTTGTAGTGGTCTAGTCCAGAGGGGGTCATGCGAAAAATTCAATCCACTTAATAGGCCCGGTAAGCAGTAAAACTTATCGAGTTGATAATAATCCAAGTTGCTGCCAAAAAACCAAGGAGTGTGCCAGAAAGTAACATTGACACCATAGACAATGGATACGAACAATGAGCTAAGGTTGCACCTCATTTGTGGCCATCGATCTCAAGCTAAAGAAACGAAGGCCTCGTTTGAGAACAGGCTAATTTAGTAACTTTTTGACTATTTGGCTAAAAAGGTAGGTAAAAAAAACTTATATGTTTGGAACGACTTTTTGGCTAATTACGAAAAGATGTGCAAAAAGTAGAGAGAAAAGAGAATCTTTGACTTTTGGTATGAGTTGTTGGCTTTTTGGCTAAAATGGTAACTTTTTGACTTTTTAGCTAAAAAGGTAAGTCCCCAAACGGGGCCGAAATACAGGTAGAGAAGTTGGTGGAACCTTGAAGAAGCCAAATCTTGGTGTTCATAGTGGCTGCTCAACAAGGAAGAGAGCCGAGCCATGCAACAAAATGTTACCTGCAAAATGTTAATGAATCACTATAAATTTGTTACCATAATAGATCATGGAATCACTTATTTGTACATAAAAAGTCCATAATTAGAACATTGGTAATTCTTGCTAAACAATTTAAGGCATCACATTCAAAGGGTCAACCCCATCAATCCAAATTCAAATCCTGTAGTGATAGAAAATCCAAAAACTCAAAAATTAAAACCAGCATGTTCCCTACGTTTCAGCCTTTGAATTAATACCTAAAAGCCCAGATATCCCAATCAATCCATCTCCAATTTCCCTTAAAGATGATACTCTAGAGTCAATGCCATAATAAATTGTTTCATTATGAAGGAAGAACTGCATCATAAGAACTAATTTTTCGATCAGCACCATCTGAAATACAAATGCCCCCTTCCCTCCTTCATACAGACAATAGAATTTGATACCAAGAGTTTTGTTTCATATCAATAACAAACACCAATTGGTTGGAACTAAAGAAAAAACTGAGGAACTATTTTCAATTTTGGATGTTAACATAATTAAGCCGTAAGAGTTTTATGAGGACCACACCTAAATAATAATAATAAAAAGTACAGGAAGGGAATAGGAAAGAAATGACAATCTGATGCAACAGTGTGAAAGACGTGAAGTCAAGGGATTGTTCATTTGAAGATGGGATACATGTGGACTTGATAATCAAGATTTCCCCAAACTGAAGAGACCATACTTACACAGCCAAGTGCCAAACCTGACTGAAAGAATGAACTTCCTTTGTGCCTATTCAGTCCAGCTCCAAAAAAACACACAATCACATCTTGACCAAAGTAGTTTAAACCCACATGCTACGTCTGAAAGGATTAAAAATCTTGGAGAAAAAGTGAGGGCCAAAGAAGTCCAAAAGCACAATGTTCTCGAGTGTATAAAACCAATTGGTGTTACCATAGAGAGAGACATGAACTATACTTCTTGCATTCTTGGGGATCCCATATAAAGACAATATCACAGTAATTAATGCTAAATTCACACACCACTTTTAGACTCTCACACTCCTCTTGTGAGAGGCTAAAAGAAAAAAAAAATGGAGTGTGAATACTCAGGTCCCAGAAGTACATGATAAATACCGCGAAAGGCAATACGGTAGAGAAAATTATCATTGGTCATCGCTCAATAACAACCACTAGTCAAGCACCAGCAACCCTGCAACAACGCAATCTTTATCTACCCAAAAGTACAGTCAGATGCACAGACAATCAGTGCAGTTATTCCTTCTAACACAATCAGACAGTGACCAAAGCATTCTCCCTCTGAATTGTTGCTGCAACACTGCCTGCACTTAAAAGAGCTCAGGCCATGAACTCTAGCCTGCATTAGCACGAAAACTTCATAAGTGATCAGTACATTATGAAAATGGAATTCTTATCCCAAAAACAAAAACTAGTTATCATATCCAACATCAAATGTTGAGGTATCAAAGTTTTAGACAACTAACTGCCTTTGATGACTGGATGCGAACACGAACATTCATGTGTCATATTGTAGTTACAAACAACCCAACCCCCAGTATATTCATATAAATACAATTAGCAATCTATCTCTCCTCATCACTGATCTGCCAAGGAACTTCAGGTCTCGTGTTGCAGTTTGAATTTGCGCATTCTTTCCAGTATGGCCTTCTTCTTCATTGGTATCATTCAGTTGTATAGAATGGGAATTGCTGGAACTCCTAGTCTATTTGACATGCCAAGTGTTGTAACTTGCTTCAGCCAAAACCTGTTGTAGAAAAAAGCAATGAAAGAGGTCTTTTTAGCAAAGGCATCAATGTGCTGTTCCTTGCATAAGTTGGCAGAATTATTTCACAGAATTTCAATTTTGATTTAATATTTACACAGGCAGCAATCAAATTTATTCAAACAGTATACAGAGTCAGAAATCACAATCAATATCATGAAAGAGGACATAAACACCTTCATCTACAGCACTTCCAATCAACCAACAAGAAGGAGTGAAACTGCGGGAGAGAAACAAAAACAGAAGCAAAAGCACTAATCTCTGGAGTCCATATTGTGAAGACATGTTCTCAGACATCGAATGAGGGGGAAAAAAACAAAGAAGACAACCTTATCAAAGAAAGATAATGCAACACACTAACTTCTTGTCATCTTAATCTAAATACAAAGAAACTTTCGGGTAATTTCCTATGGAGACATTTTCTACAATAAAATAAAACAAATGGAAAGAATATAAGGAAAAAAGACACAACAAAAAGAACAAAAAAGCAAACCCAAATATCACAATCACAGAGCTATAGCTGGACAATCCAAACCCCTTTTACTTAAAATGATACCAACCATTTTAGCAAACAGCTTGCTTGCATAACACCAGACACAACTATTTAAGCTAATTCGTCAATGCTTCCCTGACATTGTTGTCTAACCTCTGAAAAAGAGCATAAAAGAAACTATAGCAGAAAATAAAGAGGGACATCAAGAAAGCCTAACATAGGCAGTCCCTATTCTATCCAAATTTACTGAACCTTTAACTAAAGAAGAAAGACTAGAATTTTTTGAAAAATCTCGTCTTCAGGAACATGATCACAACCCAATTAGCAAGAGCATCACCTATCATTAGCCTCCTGAAAACAAAGAGACACTAAACAATGTATGCCATATAACAATTGCTTCATCACAACCATATCATAAATCAAGAACCAAGGGGGACCATACATATCATTCAGGAAATGCACCAAAACCTTTGAGAACTTCAATCTGCAACCAGCAAATATCCTGATTCAAACATAGATGATACCAAATAGCCACGCTTCATTTTTGCCACAGTATTAGAACACTGCCCAAGCAACAGTGTGCAAGCAAAAATCAATTTGCACTGACCATCTCGGACAATACCCTCACCATTACCCAAACCAGATTACCTCGACTACATCCAACACAATTCAACTTCAAAAAAGGGGCTTGCTTAGATATAAGTAAATTTCAATGGATTCTACCTACGCACCCACGAATAAAAGATAAATTTTTGTTACAAAAAAAACACTACTAATCGATATGCTGTTTGTTTTACATATATGTTTTAATCATGGCATTTGACTTAGGTGGCTGTGTAGCACCATTTTATAGTATAAAGTTTGTGGGTTCAAATCTTATAGAGCGGAGTTTGAGACTCCTGCATTCAAATTAAGAAATTTAGTATATTTGAAAAGATTTTAAATACTTAATTTTAGGGTTTAAATAAATTTGTTTTGACTCACGTTTGTTCATTAAAATGAAAAAGATAGTGCTTTAATGTCATTTTGCTTTAAATATAAATTTAGGTGACTGGATTATATAAGCTAATGTGTTTTAATACTCTATGATAAAAAATTTCATAAAATCACTGCAAAGAAAAAACGACAGAGATTAACTTTTGCAAGCATGTGTTTATAGTTTGTATGTTCAAATGTTAATGGGTTTTGTTGACTTGGCATAGATGGATTCTTTTGTATTGACTTGGCCATGGTTTGAAGTTTGAACTACTATTAGTCTATATTCTAAAGTTCAAAGAGTTAGCTAGTTCGGAAATGTTTAATGTTATATTGACAGCTTTCATGGTTTCTGGTCTGCTCAATTCAATGTATCAGATAAGTTAAGGGGGAACTACATGTAGGTGGAAGAAGGAAAAAAAAATTACAAACACCAGGGTTGCAAGTGTCTTGTGATAGGGTGCAAATGAAAGGTTGTGGGACTTGCACCTCCCATGTGTTGGTAATTTTTTTCTCTTTCTCCCACCTGCATGTAGTTCCCCCATAAGTTAAAGCATTCTCATTCAGGTAGGTTTGAATTAAGCAAAAGGGCAAAAAAAAAAAAAAAAAAAGGGGG